TTACTGCTCCACAGTCTTCTCGTCAACACGTGAGTATGGCGCATAAGCTAGTGTTACTTTTACTTTGCTCTTATAGTTTCATAGTGTGATAGAGTCTTACAGTAATCAGTATCTTGATGAGTATGATTATTGATAAGTTTGGTAGAATGTAATATCATGTGTGGACACACGAGTATTTCGTGAGCACCTATAAATGCATACCTACAGCGTTGTTACGGTGATTGATGCTCTAATATCTCTCCTTTCCTCTCATACATACATACAGTGTACAAGGAGATCAGCACATACCGAGGTCAGATTCGGATAAAAAAGATATGTATAGACAGGGATTTGAGTATATCCAAAAAGTTGGACATCAAATAAGTATCCCAGATTATATCATACTCCACTACTTTGGTAAGTCATAAAGACAGGATACGAATACAATCCATCAGATCTATCTTCGTGTTTACACTCTATTCTTTTCTCTGTGTTTTATTATCATACTTTTATCACTACACGTCTTTCGTTTATCAGTTTCCTATCTTCTTAATCATCATTCGTTTCACTTGTTCTCTCGTGCCTCATAAGTAACTTTCTGTTGATATACATTTCTCTTTCTATCCATTACTCTAGACAAATTTTGATTCATACTTCTTTTTCTTCTTGTTATATTCTTTATACTTTGTTCTCTTATTTTGCTGTGTTTATATAAGCATACTTTTTAATCTTCTTTCTTCCTCGTTATATATTAATACACAGCTATTCATAGTATGTATATTATCTCTGTGATATTCATATTCTGTTCTCTTTGTTTATCGTTTTTCTCATGGCTCATCTAGTTATATACTACTTTCTTCTGGTTTCTAGGCATGTATTATCTACTGTTATCGTTCTTCTCTCTCCAATTCTGGTTTCGAATCTGAGTTCAAATTGAATGCTGAACATGTGTTCGTTCTGTGTATAGTGCCCTGCTGACATAGGGATCTGATTACGATGTCAACTTTGCGGTCTAGTCATCTAGATAACTTTTCTCTCGCATGTTGCAGGTAGTTCGTGTATCTCTACAATGTAAAATGCCCTCAGTTCCGTCCACAATCACCCGCTCCAGGGCAAGTCCCGCGGTATGTATCCTTCACTTATTCCTTCTCTTCATTTCATCGCCTAATTACTCAAGATCAGGAGCTCAAAGTTCATCAAAGCTTTTAATCTCGTTATATTTTCTGGTCCTCTCTCCACAGCCAATGGTCTATAAAGGGTCTCTTAAGATGATCTATGTTTGCAAGAAGCATTGGCTTCTTTTGAGAGACATATGGTGTGTTCCCACTATGACTGATCAGGCGCATAATTACCCCTCTGATCAATGGAATAATTTGCAAATTTCTCGTTATAATATTGCAAGAAGATGTGGTTCATTTTCCTATACAGAGTGAATCTGGGTGTGTTAGAGCAGCCAAGCTCTGGACATAACTCAAGCATAGAAAGCTTGAGTAATAGTCTCAGATTTAATTATGTTCGAGCTGTGAATTAGATACTCGATAAAACTGAAGCAGGGGGGTGATCTGATATATTGGCTTTCTGAGTACATGCAATGCCCTTACATCACTCGACTTTTTATCTATATATCTTGGACTAGGTCTCAGTTCTTAGAGTATTAATCTTCTTTCTTTCCTAGATTTTTGATTACAGATGACTACCGCTTTTACAGAGGAGTAGCATTGTCGGGAGTGAGTGAGCGAGAGTTGTCTTGGCTCTCTTGAATAATCTGACCACAGTGCTTTTATCTCTTTCGTTTCTGATAGTACAATATCCTCTGGAGAAGTGCGAGCTTGGTTGTAGCTTTTTGGCGATCTTGGCTGTTAGTTTATTGGTTTCTTCGCAGTCCTGAACATACTCCCATATTTCGGAGTGCTGGAGTCTTTGTCAATCTTGTACTTGTTGTGTTCACTTCCTCACAGACTGGTTACCTCTTTATATTCACTACTATGGTAACAGCTGGGCTTTCTACCATATACTTCTTTCTCTCTATCTTTTCCCTCGTAACGGGATATTGAAGTGGGCTGGCCTGCCACAGCCTTCATCATTCCAGCTGTGAACCTATTGGTTGCGCCGTTATCTTAATCTCTGTGCTTTCTCGTGGCCTTCATTGACTACTTTTACTCTCTCCTGTTTCACATCGTGTAACATATCATGCTAGATATTCCTCTCTCTTGACTCTTTCCTTGGTTATATGGAGATTCCTAAGGTGGATCTGTGTCTATACTACAGTCTCTTATCGTATCTGGCTAGTGCATCAAATTACAGAAATTTGTGAGAGTTCTATTGTTATACTGAGTTGCGTGTATCAAACCTGAGGCACCTTTTATCCTTTCTTTCTGTTTATCTACTTTTATCTCTTTTCCTCTGTGTTTGTAGCCTTCTGCAGTGCCCTTAACGAACCAGCATGGTGCAACCCCTAGGCTGTTCTTTTAGTTCACTCTCTTCTCTTAGTTCACTGTCTAAAGTACAGACTCGTCCAATCCTTTCTCAATCTATCTGGTATCATATCAGACGCTCAACCTTTCATTATCTCCTTTTCTTTCTCGTTTACCTACTTTTATCTCTTTCCTTTTCTTTTATTCTATCTTTTATCTCTTTCTTCTGTTTAATCTACTTTTTTATCCTACTGCTACAATTCTTCATTCGTATATATCCTACTAGCCTCTTTCATCCTACCATTATGCTTTCCGTGCTTCATCTACTTTGCATAGCTTCCTCTCTTGTCATACCCCATTTCTCTGTTCTCCATCCTACTTTATCTATTTTCTATAGATAGTATACTCATCTTGGGAGCCTTACCGGACTTGCCTTCCTTCAAGAGGGATCTGGCTTCAAGTCTAACTGTGTTTATTATCTTTCTTTCGCTTGTTTGACCTGATTTTTTTATCTCTCCGTATACATTTCTACTATGTACAGGAGGTGACGTCCCCCGAGACAAGTCAAAGCTGGACATACACTCAATACTTCTTGCACTTAGAGAAAGTGACAGATGCATATTCTTATAGTAAAGTGTAATTATATATTAAATAGAAAATACAGATAAGTTGCTCGGAAAGAAGGATTGAAATAGAAAAACTGATGATATTGAGTTTGTTTCTGAAATTTGTGAAGTTAGTGATACATAGAGATAATGATTTATGTGTATTTCTAGTGAGTAGAGATAGACAAGTAGATAGCTAGATAACACATATAGATGAACAAGCCATCAATTACGGGTTCATGGCTCACCTGAAGATAGATAGATAGATAAGATCACAAAAAAATAGATAGAGGACACGACGATTGTACGATGTGAAGTAGTGAGGAGATGAGGATGAAATAAGTTGTAGATATATGTGTAATACTTAACAGAATGGGGTACGACGAAATGTTACCATAGGATGAAAATAGAATAGAAAGAGAAAGTAGAAATCAGAATAGAGTGAAAGAGCAATTGAGATACAGAACGTAATAAAGTAGAAAATAGTATGATATAGATAAAAGAAGAACACATAAGAACATTATTTTAGATAGTATGTTTACGCAGTGAAAGCAAAAAAAAAAAACAAAAAAAAGATAAATGTAGTTAGATAGAAAATTTATACATCCTATATAAAATCGAGAGAGAATATAAGAGAGAAGAAATTAGTCTAAAACTATATCGTATATAGATAAAATGTAGGCCCTTACTGTAGAAAGAGAACCGCTATGATCACAAGACCGAGACCGCACATTTGTAACTAATTGTGGATCACATCGCCGAGTCTCTGCCATTACGTACTCGAAATTTGACCGAAAATCCTCATCAAGGTGGTCACCGATTACGGACGTGTTATGTTTCAGCAAATTTCATCTTTTAATTTGGCGTGTGCACTATTTAACTTTAGATAAATTGTGTAGTAGTGTATGTTATTTACGTACAATAAATGTGTTTTCTTTTAGCCCCATGATTTGGGAGATTCAAATAATACATTTTGAAGTAGACTGTCTAGATGCAACTTATCAGAGTTAGGTGTGTGTATCCACACATGTCCATTAGTTGCTTTATGGACTATCTAAGTTGAACTTTGTGTTATTTTCTTTTCTCTTTTCATCTTTTTTTACAATACGAAATCATGCTTGACTATAGATGTTAGATGTCTTGAAATCTTTATTTTCATATAAGATTTTAGTGGAGAGTGCTAGGTGTGTGAGTGTAGGAGGGCTGCAGTGATTAATGGGGAAATGGGGAGGATTAGTAGAATTAGTAGGTGGTGGCAAGTAATGGGAAGCTTTAGAAGGAGCGTACAAAAGAGACGAGGTGGAAGATTTAAGATGGCAAATGGGGACAAAGAAAGGATTGGAGGTTGTAGAAGGGCGAAAGGTGAGAAGGAAGAGGAAGTGAAGGGAGACACATGTAGTGGTTAAGAGTGATTATGGGTACTACTAAGCAGTGAGTGAAGTAGAGGAGCAGAACATTATCAGAAGGGAGAGGAGGTGGAGGAGGCGAGACGAGGCATGAGCGAGGTACTACGTTGTCGATTCTAGTGAATGTAGGCACGTTGGTTAAAAGACAGTTAGTTGTTGTGCACAAAGCGGCTAGGCTGTCCTGTGGACACAGCTGGTCAGAATTGCTGACAGCATTTCCCAAGGCAACTCTCGAGCGTGCTGCTGCGTAGTGGAAGAGGTGTGAAGTCGATACTATTTTATGGGCTTGTTCGCTGTCCAAGTATGGTAATAGTATACTTCCAAAGCAACACAACATGTTTTTATTTCTATGTTAATGTCACAATATTGGTGCATTTTTGTTGGAAGTGTCATAGTGATGTGTTATCTGGGTTATATCCAGAAAATGTACTTATCCATTTTTCTTCTCAAAAACAAAAGAGGGTTGAACCCGATGTGATAGAAAAATTAGAAACCAAATGAGACTTATTTCAATGGTTTTAGTGCGATATTAATAAGATGGGTTAGTGGAGGTGTTGAGAATGTTGTATAATGCTCTCTTAATATCATCAATTATC